GTAGGACATATTCTTTATATGGGACTGTTTAATATACAAATGTAGGACATATTCTTTATATGGGACTGTTTAATATACAAAGGTAAGACATATGTCCTACCTTTGTATATTAAACAGTCCCATTCAAGTCAAAAATTGATTTTCCCCACAACTGAAAAACCAGTAGGCCAGGGATGGGGAACCTTTGATGGCTCCCTCAGGAATTCTGGGAGTTGAAGTCCATAAGTCATAAAAGAGCCAAGTTTCCCTACCCCTGCCGTAGACCATTTCTGGCAAATGGCAGAAATGAAAGGAAAACAGCGGCTTGTGCAAAATTGGATAGGCTAATCTTAGAACTGAAAAACAAGCGGGGGAATCTGATTATTACAAAACATGGAATAAGTTTTATCAGTGGTTGCAAAAAAGAAGGGAAGGTCAGAACAGAAGCAACCAGGATGAATAGAATTAAAAAGTAAATATTGTATCAATATTATGAATGTTAATGGTGTAGTAATATTTTTACATGTATGGCAGATGTAACGCCAAAACGGTTGTACTGTGTTGTATGCTTATAGTTGTAAACACTCTCTCTCTCTCTCTCTCTCTATATATATATATATATATATATATGTGTGTGTGTGTGTGTGTGTGTGTGTGTATTTGGTTATTCGGGTTTTCTCCTGCGTAAGATTGGAAGTATCTAGGCAACGTTTCGATGAAGTCTCATTCATCATCTTGTGTCTTCGGCTCTGTGCTTCTCAATCTTACGCGGGAGAAAACCCGAATAACCAAAGATCCACATACAAATACCGCGAGAACCTCAGAAAACACACACAAATATATCTATATCTATATCTATATCTATATCTATATCTATATCTATATCTATCTATCTATCTATCTATCTATCTATCTATCTATCTATCATCTATCTATTTATCTATCATCTATCTATCTATCTATCTATCTATCTATCTATCTATCTATATGAAAAAAATAGGATAGCCAACATGATCACCGATGTCCAATGATGGATATGGCATAAGAAGAAGAAGATTCAGAATAACAGAATAACTGAGTTGGAAGGGATCTTGGAGGTCTTCTAGTCCATCCTCCTGCTCAAGCAGGAGATCCTGTACCATTACAGCCAAATGGTTGTCCAATCTCTATTTTTGAAAGCCTCCGGTGTTGGAGCACCCACAATTTCTGGAGGCAAGCCGTTCCACTGGTTTATTGTTCTATTCCAGAGGTTTCCAAACTTGGCAACTTTACAACTTGTGGCCTTCAACTCCCAGAATTGGCTGGGAGAATTGGCTGGCTGCAAAATTCTGGGAGTTGAAGTCCACAAGTCTTAAAGTTGCCAAGTTTGGGGACCACTGTTCTCTTCTAATTAATTGCCAATTTGTTCTCCTTTTCTTGGGGGTTTTGCTTACCTGGATGGGCCAGAGGGAAGATCAACAGGAACAGAAGAAGCCGCAGGACGTTTTCCATCTTGGGGCTCACTTCAAGGGAAAATGGTACCCAAGTGATTGGATTGTGAGATCTTTTGTCGCCTTTATATTCATTCGTGCACTTCAGAAGCTGTAGAAGCCGGTCTCTCATTGGCCACAAAGCCTCCATGGCACCCTCATGCCCTCCCGAAGAAGATGCTCGCATAAACTGCAATCAGATAAAGAAGTTTTTATCTTTGTGCGGTTGGCTAGAATCGAAGTCATGCGCCAAATTTGGTAGCCCACAATCCCTGGCCTGCAGGGGTGGCCCTGCACCCCATTTTTGGAGTCTCTAGCTCTACAAGACCATAACATACCCTATGCCAAAATTTTCAGGCAAGACGGCCCATTTGTTTTTATTGCACAACATTTTTCCACGTGGGAAGCAAGATTAAGGATTGGGATGCGAAGGAGCCATGCAATTTTCAGAAAATCCCACAACCTTCCAAATATCGTCAAAACATGTGGCCAAATTGGTATATTTGGGCCCAGAAAGTCAGGAACACTTGCAGACTGCTGGATTATTTTAGTTGAGTTGAGTTTATTATTTTACTTTACTTTATTTTACATTATTTTATTACTTTAATGTACTTGTTTTACTGTTTCATTTTGTATTACTTTTTAAATTTTATTTTATTTTATTTATTTGCATTTTGGCAGAGGGTTTGAGGGTGACAAGGAAAGAAAAAAAGAAGCATTTTAATCAGGGGTGGGCTGGAAAAAGTAGAAGGGAAGAGGAGAAGAGGAGGACCAGGAGCAAAGCAGATGGACTCAGTTACAGTGGTGATGGGGACACTGTTGGAAGAGCGAAAGGACCAGGTAGGAGATAGTTATGGAGAAAATCTATCTATGTGGTTGATTTGATGGCATATCATCCATCCATCTTTCCATCCATCCATCCATCCATCCATCCATCCATCCATCCATCCATCCTTCTTCTCTCCCTCCCTCCCTTCCTTTCCTTATTTCCTACCATTTTTCCACCCACTTACTTTTCCAGTCTTTCATCCTTCCATGCATCCTTCTTTTCTTCCATCCATGCATCCTTCCTTCTTTCTTTCTCTTTCCTTATTTCCTACCATCTTTCCACTCACCCATCCATCCATCTTTCCATTCTTTCATCCTTCCTTCCATTCTTTTTTCTTCCATCCATCCATTCTTCCATCCATCAATCCATTACCCTTTCTTTCTTTCTTTCTTTCTTTCTTTCTTTCTTTCTTTCTTTCTTTCTTTCTTTCTTTCTTTCTTCCTTCCTTCCTTCCTTCCTTCCTTCCTCCCTTCCTTCCTTCCTTCCTTCCTTCCTTCCTTCCTTCCTTCCATTCATCGTAATGGATGTTCTTCCCAGTGATGGGATTAAACATTTTTACTACCAGTTCTGTGGGCATGGCTTGGTGGTTGTGGCTTGGGGAAGGTTACTGCAAAATCCCCATTCTCTCCCCACCCCACTAACCTGCTTTCCAGCTCCGTTCTCCTGTGCAGGACAACCAAAGAAGATCCAGCTGATCAGCTGGGATTTGGGAGGCAGAGAATAGATGGGAATGGGGCCAGTCAGAGGTGGGATTTGCCGGTTCTCCAAACTATTCAAAATTTCTGCTACCGGTTATCCAGAACTGGTCAGAACCAGCTGAATACCACCTCTGGTTCTTCCCCTACTGTTTTTTTCAAGATACTTCATATACAGGTGAAACTCGAAAAATTAGAATATCGTGCAAAAGTTCATTTATTTCAGTAATGCAACTTAAAAGGTGAACCTAATATATGAGATAGACTCATTACATGCAAAGCAAGATAGTTCAAGCCGTGATGTGTCATAATTGAGATGATTATGGCTTACAGCTCATGAAAACCCCAAATCCACAATCTCAGAAAATTAGAATATTGTGAAAAGGTTCAATATTCTAGGCTCAAAGTGTCCCACTCTAATCAGCTAATTAAGCCATAACACATGCAAAGGGTTCCTGAGCCTTAAAATGGTCTCTCAGTCTGGTTCAGTAGGAATCACAATCATGGGAAAGACTGCTGACCTGACAGTTGTGCAGAAAACCATCATTGACACCCTCCACAAGGAGGGAAAGCCTCAAAAGGTAATTGCAAAAGAAGTTGGATGTTCCCAAAGTGCTGTATGAAAGCACATTAGTAGAAAGTTATGTGGAAGGGAAAAGTGTGGGAAAAAAGGTGCACAAGCAGCAGGGATGACCGCAGCCTGGAGAGGATTGTCAGGAAAAGGCCATTCAAAAGTGTTGGGGACTTTCACAAGGAGTGGACTGAGGCTGAAGTTAGTGCATCAAGAGCTACCACACACAGATGGATCCTGGACATGGGCTTCAAATGTCATATTCCTCTTGTCAAGCTGCTCCTGAACAACAAACAACGTCAGAAGCATCTTATCTGGGCTAAAGAAAAACAGAACTGGTCTGTTGCTCAGTGGTCCAAAGTCCTCTTTTCTGATGAGAGCAACTTTTGCATCTCATTTGGAAACCAAGGACCCAGAGTCTGGAGGAAGAATAGGAGAGGCACACACTGCAAGATGCTTGAAGTCCAGCGTGAAGTTTCCACAGTCTGCATTGATTTGGGGAACCATGTCATCTGCTGGTGTTGGTCCAATGTGGTTCATTAAGTCCAGGGTCAATGCAGCCATCTACCAGGAGATTTTGGAGCACTTCATGCTTCCTTCCGCAGATGAGCTTTATGGGGATGCTGACTTCATTTTCCAGCAGGATTGGCACCTGCCCACACTGCCAACAGCACCAAAACCTGGTTCAATGACCGTGGGATTACTGTGCTTGATTGGCCAGCAAACTCACCTGACCTGAACCCCATAGAGAATCTATGGGGCATTGCCAAGAGAAAGATGAGAGACATGAGACCGAACAATGCAGAAGAGCTGAAGGCCGCTATTGAAGCATCCTGGTCTTCCATAACACCTCAACAGTGCCACAGGTTGATAGCTTCCATGCCACGCTGCATTGAGGCAGTAATTGCTGCAAAAGGGGCCCAAACCAAGTACTGAGTACATGTACATGCTTATACTTTTCAGAGATCCAATATTGTTCTATGTACAATCCTTGTTTTATTGATTGCATGTAATATTCTAATTTTCTGAGATTGGGGTTTTGGGGTTTTCATGAGCTGTAAGCCATAATCATCACAATTATGACAAATCACGGCTTGAACTATCTTGCTTTGCATGTGATAAGTCTATCCCATATATTAGTTTCGCCTTTTAAGTTGCATTATTGAAATAAATGAACTTTTGCGCGATATTCTAATTTTTCAAGTTTCACCTGTATACTTCATAAAGTTTTATGCTGCTCAATGAAACACCAACCTGTAACTAGAATTACGGCACTCGGCATCTCTAATTCTGTGGCATCCCAGCTGTGGACAATGGTTGTCAGTGGGGATGATGGTTCTCAGTTCTGAGTCAATAGTTGTGTACTCATCCCTCTTAGAACACGTGCAACCACAAAGAAGCCAAGCCCATTTCCATCAGACAACTGAATTTATCAAGTCTCTGTGGTTAGTTTTGGACTTAGTGTCTCTTCTGAACTGAGAATAGTGGTTTAATTGAGTTAACGGTAAGGGAAACACAGACCTTGAGTTAATTTCATACTGGAAATCTTCTCGAAATATGCTCTATGTGCTTTTTGCAAACAAAGTGGCTGTGTGGAAGGGAGATTGTGTATCAACCAGATGGGCTACCTTGGCTCACCCAAAGCGACTGACTACATCTGGATTCTCATCATTTGGCAACTTTAAGATTTCAACTCACAGAATTCCCCAGCCATCTAAGCTTCTGAGAATTGAAATCCACACATTTTTAAAAAAATTAACAGATTAACGGAGTTGGAAGGGACCTTGTAGGTCATCTAGTCCGACCCCCACCCCCACCCACCCAAGCAGGAGACCCTACACCATTTCTGACAGATGGCAGGCCAATGTCTTCTTGAAAGCTTCCAGTGATGAAGCTCCCACAACTTCCAAAGGCAACTTCTGTTCCATGGGTGGATTGTTCTCACAGTCAGAAATTTTCTCCTTATTCCCAGGTTGAATCTCTCCTGGATCAGTTCCCATCCATTATTCCTTGTCTGGCCTACAGGTGCTTTAGAAAATAGTTTGAATCCTTCTTCCCTGTGGCAGCCCCTCAAACATTGGAAGACCTCTATCATGTCTCCCCTAGTCCTTCTCTTCTCTAGACTAGCCGGGCCCAGTTCCTGCAACCGTTCATCGTTTGTTTTGGTCTCCAGGCCCCTAATCATCTTGTTTGCTCTTCTCTGCACTCTTCCTAAATCTTAAAGTAGCCAAAGTTGAGAAACACTGTTCCTCACCCTTAAATCAGAATAGAGTAGAGCTGGAAGGGACTTTGGAGGTCTTCTAGTCCAGCCCCCTGGTCAAGCAGGAGACCCTATACCATTTCAGACAAGTGGCTGTCCAGTCTCTTCTTAAAAAACTCCAGTAAATGAAGTACTCACAACCGTGGTGGGATTCTACCAGTTTGCCTACCGGTTTGGTGATCATGCCCTTCATGCGTGCACGCAGCTTTCCAAACAACCGCTGAGGCTCTGCCGCGCCAATTAGCTGAGCGGAGAAAGAAGAGAAAAGCGCAGGGGTGGGTGGAAGGGCCGATCCTGCGCTTTTCTCTTCTTTCTCCACCCAGCTGATCATCTGAGCTTTTTTTTTTTTTTACTACCGTTTCGACTGAACAGTAGCAATTTTCACTACCGGTTTGGGTGAACCGGGGTGAACCGGGAGCATTTCACCACTGACTCGCAACTTCTAGAGCAGTGATGGCTAACCTATGACACGCGTGTCACTCGTGACACGCCGAGGCACTTTGACTGACACGCCTGTTGGTGTGGGGAAAACCTGCACATTTAGAGGCTGCCTGTGCTCTGCTCCAATCCCTGCTCCCTGCTTGTTGCGTGGAGGCGTGGTGTCACCGCTGCCGCGAGATCTTTGCAGCAGAGAACCAGTTTTAACTGCCATAAACTGAGGTTTGTCAGTTTCATTACCTCAGGAACGCTACAGGAGGAAAGGAGATCCATGAGGTTCACAGCCCTGTAAGGTGGCCTTCCGATCCCCACATCCTGCACCTGCAGCCCTGAGACCAGGGAGACGAGTTTCACAGCC